TGTCAAGGATGAGCTTAATTTTCTCCCCCAACTCGATTTCCTTCACACAATCATGGCTTGGTCCAGGTAATTCAAGGTTTTTTTCGGGTAGTGGGGGTCCAACGGAAGCCATTGAGGGGAATAGTGGGCACAAGAGAGAATTGCATACGCGGACTGAGAACAATGAGACAGGCCCGGAGAGGTCAGCGACTTCTGGTGGCAGGGCACGTCATGTTACATGAGACCAATCACAGCTAGCGGCGGAGGGAATACGTGGGTGGTAAGGATGTGTGGCCCAATCACAGTCCGATACGTCATATGATGTCAGCGATAACATAAGAGCAGCCTAATGCGCACCACTCACTGCGCCGCTTCCCGCGTATGGTCAAGAATGGACAGCGTCAGTAAAAAATGGCGCGGCGCGTCTGGACCTCGCCGCGTAAATTACCAAATTTACCGCATAATTAAAACATTTCATTCTGGCAAGGCACCTCGTAACTGACCAAACGAGTAAACAAAAACCGCGTAAATCCAGACTATACTGTATATACACAAGAAAAGATAACTCCTCTACCTTCTCTTACACAAATATAATATACAGATATAAATAAAAGAAATAAGAGTTTTAAATACAGAGAAACCTTAAAATAAGCCCCCTTACACTGGGTCGAAGAGTCGGTGTTTTCTACATGCAGGTATTAGCCCAGACAATATAACCAAATCTAACGTAATGTAATCTAACTGTTTAAGTGGGATGGCAACAATTACATAAACCAGATGATGTGTAGTAACAAGGATGAGTTTAGTCATGGTAAATGAGTCCTGGGAATTAATCGGTACAGTACATGATCACCGAAATAAAATCAAGATAAGGTACAGGTGTGTATGCTTGTCTTTTCTCTTTAGCTCTTTGTCAATACAGTACACACTATGGTATGGTGATGCTCGAGTAGGAGACAGGGAAGATAAACTCTTATCTTACAAAAATAAAGTTTATTCTTATAGCATAACAGCAGAGTGCTGGAAGCCGCAGTTAAGTATCATGCTCGTAGAAAGGTGTTGTTGCTTGCTGTGGCTGGTGAAGAAGTGATCTAAAATTGGTGGTTTCTTATGGCTTATATAGACAAGTGGTGCAACAGGACAGTGCTCGGCTGGTATGATAGACAATCAGCGTCAGGAAAAAGTGCTTGATCTTGCCCGTGTTTGGCTACATTCTGATGCCCAATCAACATGAGGATCAGGAGAGAGAGCATGATCATGAGATTTTGTAGGGTGTCCCCTACAGTACCTTTGTAAGTGGTTTGATTGCTATAAATTTGATATTTATGTATATAAATTTATAAATCTGTATGGTCAAATTGAGATACAGTTTGTGTCGAAGGCCGGCTTCCCCCACGAAGAAATCCCCTCCACTCCCTCCCCCAGCACCAAAGAGAGAAGGTCAGACCTGTCTCCCCCCGTCCCCCCGACACTGGGAGAGGTGCTTACGACAAAGATCTCTGAGGCTGGGGTACTCCACCAGGTGTCTAACATGCAATGGCACCAGGCAGTCATTACAATGGGGAGGGGGAAGCCCTCTCCATTAAAAAACCATGAGTCAGTCATGCATGGTCAATGCGGAGATGGGCCAAAACAGTCTCCCGGCGGCGGGACAGTCCTTGATATTCCCAGGCACCCAAAGCAGGGTTGATGTCTCGGAGCTTGTTTGCCCCAACGGCATCCCACCTGCATTGCCTACTCAAGCCAATGGCAGCTCTTATTCCTGGCTTCATATCAGAGGCAGGTAGAGGGGAATGATGTGCTACAGGGCAAAAATCAGCAACTTTTGCCACAATATCAGCATGCTTATTCCCCTTCTCTCCAACATGGGCCAACTCCCAGCAAAAACTGACTATCCAACCCCAAAGTTGGATGAAAAACAGCCACTGTAAAATAGCCATAACCAAGGGATGGGGTAATGAGACACTAGCTAAGGCCTGGAGAGCACTGCAAAAATGACTAAAAACTGTAAAATCGCTATGAGATAGGTAAAAATAATATTGAGGGCAAGCAAAATACTGAAAGTTCTCTTATATAAATAGATGCCATAATGGGGAGACTACTGTCCCAACAGAAGTTGGGAAAGACTACCCCAAAACCCACCCCTGCATCCAACTTAGAGCCATCGGTGTAAACTAAACCCACCCCTGCATCCAACTTAGAACCATCGGTGTAAACTAAACAGGGATAGTCCCCCTGTGGGAGGAGGCATGCCCTAAAAAAAAAAAAAAAAAAAAAAAAAGAGAGAGAGAGAATGAACCACACAATGAAGGAGTAATTCCTTCCTCTTGTTAAAATTTCTGACAAACTTGAACTTCAGGGAGAATCCACGAGCAGCATTAGGGAACTACGTGGGGCATATCTGAACATGAGGAAGACAAAGAAGACTCACAACCTCCCTTACCCTGAAGCTGAAAGGTTGTGGAAGGCTTGGATACTGAGTGTAATATAAGGACAGTCTCGTCAACTAAAGTGTTGGTTACAGATTGCAGACGGCAGAGGTGAAACCCAAACTTCACCTGGAGATACAGACGTCGAAGATCAAGAGGTGACTTATCCGCATCCACCAGTAGACTTGGGATTGGCCAAGTCCTGAAGGGACAGGTCGCCAGGTGCACCCCAGCATGATGAATAGAATTCTGTGTTTTGAGTTTAGCCTCAGTGGCTGAGGAGTACACCTCACACCCATAATCTAGTTTGGGTAACTAGCATGTGGTAAAGTTGTAGCAGAGTTCCAAGGTCAGTACCCCACTATGTGTGCCCCAAGATTCTCAATAACTTGAGAGCATGTTGGCAAGACTCATTGAGGTAACGAATATGTGGCTTCCATGTAAACTGGTTGTCGAATATAGTGTCCAGGAAATGAGTCCCTGTAACAGTGATGGGAATGCAAGTTTTGTTTGTTTTACTTTCAGGACTACATGTGACTTCACACCTCCTTTATATCACCGAAACAAAAAAGAACGAAGGTGGAATGCCTTGTGTGTTGTAGTGTGTTTGACAGCAACTTTCATCTGAAACACAACCAGAAGCTTCACTCGGATTTAATTATATCACTCCAGTTTCTGTTTCCAGTGATAAGGATGGTACCGATGCCTTCCTAGAAAAAACACCAAATTCATCAGTGTAAAAGATAAGGAAATGTATACCTAATAAAAAAACCTGATGCCAGTTGTGCAGTCCTGTGATGAATTAGAACTAAATTAATATAATACTTATGCATTTTATTTATTTTTGTTCTGAGTGACATTCTAGTCGTAAATTAATAATCCTTTGCCCCCCTGTACAAAGACCATGCTATGTCACTACTACCCTCTCCTCTCCTTATTTAGATTCATGCATTTCTTGACCCAATTGATCTCATCCACACCCTACATGCCCAAACCATCTCAGCCTACCGCTACACAAAATTTTAACATTACTGTACAGTACTGTACTTTTAATTTAAGTTGCTCCCTTAGCCCTGAACATGTTTTCCTATCTTTTAGTGTCACATTGCACATCCAACTCACCATTCTCATTTCAGCTTGTTCAATCCTGCATACAGTAGATCACACCTCTCACTCTAGTTGTACTGTATACAAATTTCCTTTTATGTGGCAGGAAGGTCTCCTTGCCATCAATAAAGGAAGTAATTTCCCTAAACTTCTTCCAGCCACCTCTGGCTTCAGCACCCTAACCAGCATTAACCATGTCACCCAGCGATGTAACAGAACTCAGTAACATAGTCAATGATTATTTATGTAAACAGAACTCTTTTTAAAGTCAGCAACATCCTGCAGTCAGCCATCCACTCCAATGTACCTAGTGTGCACACCTTCCACACTCACTACATATTATTGAGTTGCTGCCAACACCTTTTCACAGACAGGAAATGGCCTTTTTCCACTCTCTATTGCAGTTTCCTCATCCATACTACTAATCAATACTTTTGTTTTCACCACAATCACTCCCAGGCATTTTGACTTTTATTCCATTGACACACCTATATCATCTGATATGTTCTGTAATTACACCAGCCACCTTTCCATTCTCCATTTTATCAACTGCTTTATTCACCATAGGGTGGTGCACCCAGGGGCCCTCCTAAGGGTAGCGCCTCCAGCGATCCTCCCAGGGGTGGTGCCAGCAGGGACCCTCCCAGGGTTGGTGCCCCCAGGGGCAGTGAGCCCAGGGATGGTGCCCCCAGGTGCCTTCCCAGGATTGGCTCCCCCAGGGACCCTCCCAGGGGTGGCACCCCCTAGTGGCCCTCCCAGGGGTGGCACCCCTAGGGACCTTCCCAGTGGCAGCGACCCCAGGGGCATCCCAGGGACCCTCCCAGGGGCGGCACCCCCTGGGAGGTCCCAGGTGGTGCCCCCACGGGGAGTCCCAGGGGTGATGCCCCCAGTGGGAGTCACAGGGGTGGCATCTCCAGGGACCCTCCCAGGGGCGGCACCCCCAAGAACCCTACCAGGGGAAGTGCCCCCAGAGACCCTACCAGGGACTCTCCTAGGGGCAGCTCATAATTGTAGAAAAACAATTGAATAAAAACTGAGTAAGATTGGTAAGCAAAAAGAGAAATATCAAAATTATATAGAGACGTCAGTGATATAAGTGGTGATTGATATAGGATGTTAATTAAACTAAAACACCGAAAGTTATAGTACAGGGTTATTTTTTTCATTTAGTACCAGAGCTTACTAAACATTAAATATCAATAAATTCAACATTGGTGTTCACTACGCATTTTTTTTCTTTTAAATGTCAGTGAAAATGGGTCACCTAGGTTTTAATCTTGTCAGGTGAAGTGTGTATATAGCACCCTGAATTCTAAACCTCCGTACACAAGGAGGTAATGGGGTCGGCACGACACTCGACGCCTTCAATTTCCAACAAAAATTAGGAAGCAATTCATTAAGACAAGAATTAAAACTCTGTATCCACTTGACCACCACACCCTTGTTACTGCCTTAGGACAACAAAACACTATTTATATTGTACAATTTACTGGTGAAGTAATATAAATGTATAAACACCTTGGATTCCCTCTCACAGAACTTTCAGTGTAGTGATGCATGGATTTTTGCTAAGCTAAAGATTGTTTATCAAACTATCAACAAAATAGTGTCTTATTCGAAATTTAGTTGTAATCAAACCTTAAATTTAAAAAAAACTGACAAGCTAAAGAGTGGTCGAAACATCGTTCGTGACAATGCCGAATAAAATTAGTGTATGCAATATCCTTCACTCGTTATCTTTTGTGTCATTATCTAAGTTTGCACATGACTTAAACTTAGGGGAGGGTACTTTTGAGCTGAAAAAAAAAAATATTAACCAGAGATGGTCACTGAAAGGTCAAGAACTTATTTTACAACAATAAAAATTTCTTGGCTAAGTGGCTTTGGAGAGACTGCTGTTTATTACCGAATCACATGTTGAAGGTTAATCACAGAACATGATCATATATAAATTTTGACCATGACTGTCCTTACATGTGTGCACTTATATCTGGGTTCTGTTCTGCTTGGCAACTTAGTTTTATTTTTATCCCCCCTCAAGTAATGTTCACTTCCTTTTGTTTTGTTTTAGGGCTCTTTGACCCACCAACTGTCTTCTGGGTAGTATGACCAGCACGGCAGTCTTGGCTTAGTGTTGAAGAGTTCAGGGCATCTGGAAGGCTCTTGAGAAGGTCGAGGACCTCACCATATTCAGGCACAAGAGGCTTGGGGCTGTCATCTTCCATTGATTCTGTCTGTAAACCTGAGATGAACAGCAAGTTAAAGAACACCACCACACACTCAAAGGCAGCAAGATATTTTATAAAGGTAATACAGTATATGTAAAAAATATTTTCGATTTAACAGACTAATTTGAGCCACCCCCTTCCGTTAAATGGAAATTTCGCTAAATCCAATTTAGCAATCGAGCTTGATTCCTTTAAATTTCCACTAAATTGAATTTCCGTTTTTTTCACTTGATTTAGCAAAGTAGTTTGATAAATCAAACACGATTGTTAAATTCCACGTCAAATGTGCTGCTTGGCACGTGGAGTTTGTTCACATCTGTTCAGTCGTGTCCTGCCACGACCGTATGTGTTGTTCACTGCTACCTTTTGGACTACATCTTGGTCAACTAACTACTGTGCTTAGACATCATGCTGAAAGTTTCTCAGAAGTCTCAGAAATGAAGTGGTGTGGGGGATAAAGTCAAAAGGGTGCAGCTATGAATTGGAAAAAAAAAAGTTTGGAAATTACTAGTATAAAAAAAATTGAAAACAAATCCCGAACCCCCATAGTTTAATGTAAGCCATGAATAAGGTTTCTAATGTTTCTAGGTACATATCATGTGTCTGAGGTGCCTCCGTAGGAGTGAGCATATGAACGGATTTTATCTCAACTTGGCAAACTACAGTAAAATCTCGATGATACGAGTAGACACGTTACTTGGAGTCTGCTCATACGGCGAAAACTTGTATAATGGAGGGAATAATACATGGATTAAATAGGGATGCGTTTCCAAGCACCAAGTATAGCGATGACAGTAAATAGATGGGCTTCAGTACGAGCGGACAAACTGGGATAGCAGATTCAAACACTGCGAGAAGGGAGAGGGTGCCTGGGGAAGGGGTGTGCGGCTTATCTGAGTGGCTCACAAACACATCTCTGCGCATCTGGCTGGGGGCAGGATGGTAGGGAGGTAGGGGAGGGGTGCGTGGCCTGGCCGAGTCACTCACAAACACATCTCTGCACATCTACGTCATGAGAGACGTCACGGACCATGTCTCTGCTTGTTCCGCCTACTCGGCTGCGTAAAATGAGCAGCACTGTAGCCAAGTTAGACTCATTACAGCAACCACCAGGCTACTGGGCCAAGCTGTAAAGTGTTATGGTTGTTTTTCAACTCGTATTTTCGGGTAGATATGCGCAACTTTCTTCATTTATTTTTACTCATTTACATGCACACACCATCCTAAATACATACAGTCATGCGCTGGTTAACGTCCTAGATACGTTCTTGGAAACGTGATGTTAACCAAAATGAACGTTGTCCGATCATCACATAAACTTTGTATTTATACTTACGTGTATGTGGAATACTTTATACGTACATATACACTTTTACTCTTAAATCACTACTGTAATGTGATACAGGTGATTAATTTTTATCTCGTGCAAAATACATGACGTTTATATTAAAATTATTCACTGTTTTACAAGGATTCCAGCAATGCTGGGCAGATGGGGTAGAGGGAGGGAGGGAGCATGCGAGGGGGCGTGAGGGGAGGGGAGCGGTTTAACAGTTGGCACAAGCCCAGGTCTAACGCGTGTATATTTATCAGTTCTTAAGTGACTAAGCTTCTCTCTTATAAAAAGCCAGTGAAATGACCTGGGTGAATATAATTTACATTGCTGGGATTCTTGTAAGATGTTGATTTATTTAAATATAAACAACCTATAATTCGCACTAGACATAACAATTTTAGTACCGTAATCAAATTAGTACATGTGCACTCCAACTTTGCACTAAAGTCATTTATTTCTTTTACGTTTCTTTTAGTATGGTGTGTGCATGTAAATGGATGAAAATAAATGAAGAAATTTATGTAAATCTACCCAAAAATACAGTTGAAAAACTTAATATTATAAAATGTACTACAGTGTTGTACACTAATGTACTGCAATTTTTATCTCTTGAGCAAAATATATGAAGTTTATATTTAAATTAATCTCCTGTCTTGCAAGGATTACAGCAATGCAAATTATATTATCCTAACTTTAGTCTGAGATATTATATAAAATAAACACCTTAAAGCATAAAGAAATCACCAATCTTTTGTCTGGGAACACAAGGAGGGAGGTGGCCAGCGAGCGTGGGAAGAGGGGGGGAGCAGGAGGTGAGGTGACAGTGTCTGGTGTTTGTTCATTTATTTGAGATATGATTTGACAGTTGGCGCTGAAGGCCTGCGTGTTTATTTATCATTACGTAAGAGTGACTAAGCTTTTCTCATAATTTGCCACCCAAACGACCTGGGTGAATATAACTTACATTGCTGGGATTCTTGTAAGATAGTGATTTATATGAATACAGTACCTGTATAAACAATCTATATTTGCAATAGACATAACAATTTTAGTACCGCAATCATTTAGTACATGTACAGTACAGGTTTGCACTTAGGTCCATTGTTAACCGAGGGACCACTGTATTGCAATGAACTTGTACTGTACAATATTGACTAAATTCACTAGATAACATACACAACTAATGGTTGGTAAAACTTGTCAAGTAAGTGAGTGTCAAGTCTGTCAGTATGAGTGGCACGTGTGAGTGCTTGTGTCCCCCATCATAGGAGTCCGTTTTCTCTAGCTTCAGACGCCTGAGTCCTCCGTTTTCTCTCTTAATCTTAGAGTGCACCAGAGACTTCGTTATTCCTTAGAAATGACACAGAATTTGAAATTGCAACCCCAATTGCAACTGGTGTTGCAACTGTTGAGGCAACTAGATATGTCTGATTACAGCAAATGTGTTATTGTCAATTTGTAGGTGAAAGATTTTATCCTCAATAGATGTAGGTTAACATTTCACCTGTAGGCAAATGCTTAAAAAAGCCTAAGTAAGGAAGCATATTCCTTTAACATATAATATCTGACCAGTATGGGGAGGATCATTGTGTCTCCGTCAGGGGGTCGTGGAGTGGTGGTCCAGCAGGCATCACGGAAGTGTATTTTTTGGGGGAGGGGGAGGGGGGCACGGACGTATATGCGATCGGACGTTGTTTGGTTGGACGTTAACCGGCGCATGACTGTATTGTGAAAAAGGTAAAAGAAATAATTCTCCTAAGGGCAAACCTGAACTCAAATGTACTAAATTAATTACTAAAATTTTTGTTTAGTGCAAATTATGGGATGCTTGCCCTCAAATTAATCACTATCTTACAAGAATCCCAGCAATGTAAGTTATAATCTGCCAAGTCAATTTAGTGACATTTTACAAGCGAAAAACTTTATCTCCCTGTCACAATTCTCTGACAGGAAAGGGTAAAATTAGTTTAAGACTGAAACTGTATAATAAATAGGGATATGGTGATGTTTATATGGGAAAAATTATCCCTGACAGGAGAAGCTAGTGTACATAATATAACATGCTACTCCTTAAGTCAAAACAAAAACAGGAAAAATATGAGTAACCAACGCAATCATGTTTGTTGATTACGAATGTTAAATTAAATTCATGAGTTGCAATAAATAACAATGAGCTACATTAATCTCTACCGAATAACTAATAATTAACTCATTAAATATTGCATATTTGTTAGTAATAAATCAATATGAAAATTATTATTATAGTTAAAGAATTAATTGGGTAATTAGTATCCCCAACAGATGTCAGTGTAAAATGACAGGGGGCTCAGAGAGGGGGTAGCCATATCAGCGCTGAAACAGCTGGAGTGGAAGAAACACAAATTCTCTCACAGACAGTTTACTCAATTTAGTGAGTAAATATCATCCAGCACTGCACACACACCTCAAAGATAAGTAACAATGAGCTTGGTATAGGGGATTATGAGTTAGTACCCTGTACTTAGTTAATAATTATATCTATGAATCTTATTTATGGCCATAGATAGGTTTGTAGAAAACAAGGTGGTTCAGTACACTGAAACTTACTATATAACTTTGGTGTATCGTTACTACACAAGTTAATTCAAAATAAAAAGTAAATATTTGGGCGCTTGGCATTGATCATCTAGAATATATGAAATATGATTAGTACACTCAAATAAAAGTTTTAATTCAATAAATGGAACTAATAATTACTAATCTTGATTTCAGTGAGAACTGTCATCAGTATCCTATCAGGCTTCAAAGTAGCTTCAAAGCCAAGTAGGTGATGGTCAATTCTCATGATTTAATGTTCCTTCTCCACCAAAGTTGCATAGGAATCCTTATTATTATCTTATAATAAACGTGTTTTATACACTGGTCCTTCAAACATTGAATTATGAATGACCATTAATCAAGCCCAGAGATGTGTTGGAGGTAGAGGTTATCGGAGTGAGAGTCGAAGAGGGCTGGTTCATTATCTATTCTCCACACTCCCTCTATTTGACTGTTAACTATGCACTTGGTAACATTCTCCGCCCAGCTATCAACATCTTACCTCTACCTCCCCAATCCTCCCAGTCAGGGTGAAGGTAGTTTTAGGCTTAAAGTTTTTCTTTTATAAAATGTCAGATTGAACTTACTAGAATATAACTTGCATTGCTGGAATCCTTGTAAGATAGCAATTAATTTGAGTGTAAACATCACATAGTTTGCATTGCACAAGAGATAAAAATTTTAGCCCTTTAGAGGAGTACATGTGAGTACAAAGTGAGCACAGTACAGTAATATGTTGCTCAAAATTATGGCTTTTTGACAGGAAAAAATCTGTTGTATAACTAACCCAAGTGGTCATCACTGTACAGGGTATTCGCTTCTGGTATCATTGAACAATATCGCTCAGTTAGCGAATAAGGTGCAAATTCTTTAACCTCATATCATCGAATTCTCGTATAAAGAATACTCGTCAAAAATTCTTTCCGCTAAATCAAGAGTTCGTTATATTGGATTCCGTTAAATCGAGAGTACAGTATAGTCTGGATTTATGCAGATTTCCTTTATGCGTTTGGTCATTTACGCGGCACCTGGCCAGACCGGCAATTATTAGTTACGCGGTACATTCCATCATATACGCGGGAAGCGGCGCGGGCAGGGTGC